TTTACATTTTTGAGCTAATCTAATATAAAAATCTTATCTTAGAATTTTAAAAACTCTTTTGCTATGATACTGACTAATGTTAATAATAAAAAACTTTGTAATATATTTGCAATTTAAATCATAAATCATCAATGTCTATTTACTATAATTGAAGATTCTGCAAATATAAAAGGCTCACAAACTTTGTTTTAATACCAAAAATGACTTAGTAAACTAAGATAATTGCATTAGATGAACTTGTAATAATACTACTATTTTGTCTACTACTTCATATATATAATCAGACTGTAAATGACTATATATATAATAAACTATACAAATAATAAAAAATATTTTATTAAGTTGTATTATAACCTCAAGTTTCAAATATATTGGAATCAGAGATAATATATTTTAATTTATTTTAAAAAAATTTAGTAGTCATATAAGTATGACTATAGTAAAGTTCTGGTATGATGTACTAGTTACAACAAGTTTTTCAAAGTTATATAAATATTTATTATATAGATTCTTAAAAAAATAAAGATTTCAGACCTGCGAGTCAATAGTGCAGTAGTTAGCACTTCCAGGTCACATTCACAAGGTTGCCAGTTCAATTCCAACTGGGAGAAAAAGCTGTGTCAGGACCATGATTGTTATGATCTTAAGAAGATTTTTTACTTCTACTTCTGGACAAGAATATTACAAAAATAAATGATCTATAGGGATGGTCTACTTCCAATTTCAGACAAAGTACTACAGCAAGAATAAGTCAAGTGACATAGCCACGGGGTTACATGACACTCAGATAAGGAGATAATCTGACAAGAAACGTCGATAACATAAGGATCCATGATTAGAAAATTACTGTAAAAGGCAATAAAAATAAGGAGACAGAACCTAGAAGGACCATTGTTGATAGGGAACTGCAGACTCGAGTAAAAGGTCCTACACTGCAGGGCCAGGGACCCGGGTTATCACAATAGTGATAAACTTGTTAATAATATGGTATGATGGGGCTAGGGAACACTACTGGTGATGTACATAGCAACTAAATATGTAAACCTGTAGATTCCAAACATTAAAAGTTAATAAAGAAAAATTAGAGCACCACACACGTCCCATGATGTAATGCATCAGGGATAGTTAAAAAAAAAAATAAAGATTTCAAATAAGTATTTTTTTATTAGTAATTATAATGCTATAGTTTACTATATACTATTTATCAATCATATGTGAATTAGCAATTAATCTTTTTTTATTATTGCTAAAAGTAATTTTAAAAACACTTCAAAAATATTTTTATTTAATTTTATAATTATTTAATCTTTCTTTAAATTTTTGTTTTTTTTTGTTTTTTTTAATATTTTCTTTTTTATTTTTATAAATAGCTTGGTTATTTGCTTTTTCTTAATTTATTATATAATAGTTTTAGTTATTACTAAAAGATTATTCTGTTATTTGATTTTAAATTAACTAATATACATATATCAAATTAAGTTTTCTTAAAAACAAAATTGTATTTCTAATAAAATTATTGTCTAATAAATCTGCAATTTTATATTTTCTTCTAAGTTAAGGTTTGAAATTGTAAATCTTATTATAATTTGTATTTTTCTAACTTTGAACATTATATAACATGCTAAGTTGTTTTTTACAACTTTTAACATACCTTAAATAGATTATAATAACAATTATTTTTTGATTTTATTGTTAATAAACTATAATTGATCTATGTACTTTCTTTAAATCTATTGTATTAACTTCTATATGTAGGCTTGTTAAATAATAAATCTGTAAAAAGAATTTTAAAATAATTATATAATATAAACTTATTAAGCATTAAACAACTGCTAAAAAATTATATGTTTTTTGCTATTCTATACTGTATATAGTCGAACCTTTTTATAGTTATACTTTCAGTTTCAAGAAATTCAGATTATAAAAAATTTATTTGTATTGAAATTAAATTTTTTGTTTTATACAAAATTGTTCTAAAAATTAGTATGCTTACAAAAAAAATGTAACTCTATAAAAATTGACTGTATAAAAGGCAGGCTGTAGATAAAAAGAATATGCTTTAAAATTATTTACCTCAAATAAAAAATAGAATTTATTGTAAAACAATTAAAAAACAAAAGCTTAAATAGCCTCACCATTAATATTAAAAAAAAAAATAAAAGCTTAAATATAAATATAAATCAGTAATTACTTCATTCCTACATGAATTGTAAACTTATGGCCAATAGAAATAATGCTAGTAAAATTTATAATGACTCTAATGCATAAAGTTTACATATTACAAATATGCTATTTGAAAAATCAAATTTCTTTATCTAGATACATCACTATAAAAAATTTATAATGAAAACATTTCTTGTGCGAGTCTTTTATTAACATCTGTTATACAACAAGTACGTGCGTACGTACGTATGTTTTAACTCAAAATCAGTTTAAAGCGCTGCACCGTTAGCAACAGCGATAGGTTCAGGATAGACCATATAACTACAATAAGAATGGTAATAAGGTTACCATTTATATATGTTGAGGCACATAAATATTATTGATGGCAGAATAAAATGATGTATTTGGAAACTAATTCGTATAAAATCCAAGTATATTCGAGCAATGACGATGATCCCCAATCGCGTGTCAAATATCAAACAATGTTGAAGACGACATCTCTTTCTGTTTTGAGATATAGATAAATCTCCTTTCTTAAACATCAAGGGTGCGCAAAACATAATATGGTCTATCGAATTTCCAAGAACTCTACCTGTTTTAAAGATGATGGTGTCGCAACTTCGTATGACCTGCTTGTTTGCAAATTAATGATAGACGATTCATACGTTTGTTTGATAAAAGGGTCATACAATTAGTTGCAAGCATAAAAATTCTAGCATTTCTTAAAAATATGGCCATGGCTTTTTTTGATTTAATGTACAAATCAACTCAAAAGTTCAAGTTTCATTGAAATAAATCGATGAATCTTTCCTTGGCGACTCTAAATTTAAATTTAAGTTTGAGAATTATTAACTAAAAGAAATGATATAATAGCATATATAGTATCATACCGCCGAGTTGCTTCCTGAAGAGTTTCGGATGAATTTTTTACAGCACTAGCACCAAGTCCTCTTGTTCCTTCATTATTCACAAGCTGTACAGGGTCCAAGATTCCTGTACCATTACACCCTAAGCCTTGTCCTTCCTTCCATCCCATTTTTTGTAAAAGCTTATTGCCTCTATTTTCAGACCCAATCTTAGTCTGCACATTTATCTCTATTTCAGAATTTGTACCAGTGACATCTTCCCAATCTTTTCTTATCGGACTATTATCAGGATGAATCTCTCTTCTTATTGCTGCCCGATCGACATATTTTGTATGTTTATGCTTAACATTTGGTTGACCCGTGTACTTTCTTTTTAATCGGTTTAACTCTTCGCGGCGTTGAAATTCCAAAAGTTCTTTTTGTGTTGCATTATTATTATTATTAATGCCATCGAACCCTATATCTCCCTCTGAACCTTTTTGTTTAATTTTATTATGACTAGTATTACCATCAAACTTTTGTGATATGTCAATCATCTTTCCTTCAGTTACAGTACAAACATCACAGGTCCATTGTTTATGCAAGTGTACCTGAAACTTGGTGCTCCCAACCACTAACTCATCCAAATGACATAATTGATGAGGTTTAGAACTCATTTTACTTTCTGACAATCGTTTTGAATTAACAAATGTACCATTTTGTGATCCATTGTCAACAATGAAAAATGTATCCAAGGTTGTGACAGCTGATATATCATCGTCATCGGATTTGGCATCAGCAGCAGCGGATGAAGAACAATATATTTGACAATGATGTTTTGAAGTGGGCATTTCAGCCAAACGAAGTCGTCGATCATCCCATCTATCTCTTCCCATTGAAATCCCATTTGCATCAACTAGTACTAAATGGCCAGATTTGAGAATCCCAGACTCCATAACCACTAACCTGAGAGTCGCATCGCTACCAGGCTCACCCTGATCTATTGCAGAATCTTCATTACTAACGGGAGATGTATAAACGATAGATGACGGGTCGACAGGAGTATAAGTCTGAGTAGATTCGTCGTATGCTGAATAAACACCAGAATACACATCGAACCATATCTTGCTTTCTGGATGGAAAAAATATTGTGCTACTGAAGTTTTGACATAGCCTTGTGGAGGTGAAAAAATACGTGCATTATGTTCTTCGAGTTGGCCAACGTGGTGTGAAACCGAATCAACATCAGATATATTTTTGTATTTTTGATCAGGTTCGTTAGTAATGTTATCAATTGCCGGTAAAGAAGTTACCCCGCATGTCTCCGAATCAGATAACTGCCCTTCCTCGCGTGTACCATCTGTGGCTTCTTCAGAGCCATACTCTTTATTTGGAATAGACATTAATTCATCAGTTTTGCTCTGCTCCGGATCATATGCAGAATTATTATCAAAGTACATCCATTCTTGATTCTGGCTGTCCCACAGTGCATATGTTTGTGCAGATCTGCTGTAAAAGTATCCACTGTTTGCATCGAAAATCCAATCTTCTGAAGTCTCCTCACGAATTTTTAGGTCTTCATAAGCTTGGAGTTCAGCTTCGAAAGTCTTGTGAATTTCCGATAGCTTCGTTTCCTGTCCAGCAGAATGAGTACTTATCGAATTCGCTTGCGTTTCGCGAGGTCTGGTTAAAATTTTATAGTCATACGGAGCATCCTCCATATTTACCGAAGGGTTGCGAGCCCGATCGTGATCAGTTTCCAATTATTTCGGATTTGGTGGTGACAGTGAAGTTGTTAGTAAATAAGTAATTTAACAAAAAAAAAAAACATAAATCGAAAATTAGCCTTATTTGATCAACTGATTTATTGATCTGTTACTGATTATCCAGATATGGTAAAATATAAGACTGTATCAGGTATCGGTATAGGATAGTTCAACCATTAATTTTAACTTTAAATTCCGGATTTAATAATCGAAACCCTTGGTCATAATGGACGATCCAGAACTTGAAGCTATTCGTCAGGCTAGGATACGCGAGCTGCAAGCTGCTGCCGCTGTAAGAACTTAATAGTCGAAACAACTTATGCGAACAAGAACAAAAGAGACAAAATGCTAACTCTAGTCATCCATACATAACAGGGAGGTGGATCGAAGTCTTCAGAAGACGAAGGTGAAAAGAAACGGTAACAATTACCCGTATTGAGCTGATCGTTGTAATATATAGATATACATAAAAAAAAATCCGTCTTCAAAAAATGCTAAGATTTTTTAGCTGGCAAATTTTTCAGACAACAGGAAGAGACGAGGCAAACATTGGTATAAAAATTTTCTTTTTACTAATAATTAAGCTTTAGTTGTATTGACATAAATTTTTTAGTAATATTATATATTTTATGTATACTTGATTTTAATAGTTGACTCAAATTCTTGATAATGAAGCTCGAGAAAGACGTAAGTGTTTGATATGGCTTCTAAAAGAGGAACATAGTTTCAAATTGATATCGATAAAATTTTACTCTTGTTAATATCTGATTAATACTTATTTTTACATGTAGTCGCAAGAATTTCTATTGTAAAAGCCGAAAAAGCTCGAGCCGTCGAAGATCTTCTAATTAGAATGGCGCAGTCTGGTCAATTGCGTGGAAAAGTAAGTGAATCACAACTGATCGATCTTTTGCAACAGATCAACCAACAGCAAAAACCGGAGAAAAAAATTGTGGTATTTCTTCATTAATATTAAATTATTTTCAAAATAATAAAAAAAAAGTACAACTAATTTTGCTTTACAAATTTATTGCAAAAGTATGATCGAAATCGAAGAAGATTCGAAGAAGATTCTGATTAGTGCCTAGATTCGGATACATAATCAGATATCCGGATAAGCATCCTACTTTATACTTTAATTCAGATTTATAATCCTAATCCGAATTATATCCGATTTATCTTATACAATTTTTATTGGTTTATTGCGAAATTTGATTTAATAAAAGGATATACGCAATCGAACATTAATTATACTTATAAATCGATCTAATTCTTATATCTAATCAATTAAAGAGACCTATTTGGAACATTGAAAATATATAAAATTACAACATAATGATCTTTTTTATTCTCATGACTAACATCTTACAAATAGTATTAGGCTCACATGTGTAGTGGTTGGACTCGTTAATTCGTGATTCACGAATTAAACTCAAATAACACCCGAATTATTTAATCGAGTTATTCGGGCCTTACATTTAAAATGCTATTTAAAAGTCACACATTTCATATTCCGATTGTCAAAGGAAAACTTATTTTTAATATATGGCATCCCTGAATGTGGGCTAGGCTTATGGCGCAGTTGACCTAAGTCGCAATTAAATCACATGACTACGCTAGTTTGCAAATTTACCCCAGTATCGCCATAAAAATTAACTACCCACCAATTTTTCTGCGCAGTCACGTGATATAAGTCATATCAGATAGTGATGTCAGACAATCGATTTACTGTAATATTATATACAGTATAATATAAATATTATACGTACGTAATAAATTTTTACTATATTTTTAGGGAATTACTATTTGCATCATGGATTTTTGCTATTCGCACCATGGTAACTAACATTCTGGTCATGATCTACATACCATGGTGCGAATAGCAAAAATTTATGGTGCGAATAGCAGTTCTCTATTTTTATTATTGTTCACTTATACTGGTGACACAACTTTCACTTATACTGTTACACTAATTTTCTAATGCGATATAAATTATGTGCCAAAGAAAAAAATTTTCTTCATATTGATAACGATAATTTTTTTTTTATGAACGTCAAATAAAAATATGGTTGATATGGATGATATGGATAGGACCGATATAAATATAAACTATACATTACTAAAATGTTTAAAATGTAAAAAGGTAATGCCCATAGATAAATTTATTAAAAAAAACTTACCTTAAAGTCCTGTAAATCTTGTTATCAACAATCTTTAAACAATTATTAAGCTTTACTGAATCATGATAATGGTGATAGTAATGAAGTGTTACTTCCTGAAGAAATGACTAATAATTTTTTTAATAAAATTGCAGTTATTGGAACTGATGAGTATTTTGAAAATGAATGGGTTAGAATAAAATTTAAATCAAACATTGTATTGGACAATTTTATTAATAGACACTCTTCAAGAAATAGTCAAAAAAATTGCAAACTTAATAGGTGATAATAATGGGTATTATTACATTTATTTGAACATTTATAATTTTATAAAAAACAATAAACTATATACATTTCAATACTATTGCTTCCAAAATCAGAATTTAGCAAAAAAACCCTATAAGAATTAGGATTTTAAATGTCAAAAAACCTGTAAATCAATAGAACACTTTAATTGTAATAGGACACTTTGAATTGTTATAAATATAGTAACTAATAATGCATTTATTTATTTTAAGGGTAGAGTGTACTATTTTAAAATTATATATAAACTTAGTGATAATTTTTTTTTATATTTAAATTTATAAAAAACTATATTAAGTAAACTAATTTGAATTATTAAATTAAAGTTGTAAAGTAGGTCTTTCTGATTCTAATAATAGCAAAATTATTAAAATTAAGTAAAAACTTATTAAGATATCAATTTTTAAACATTAGGATAGAAAATTATATAATAAAATTAACTTATAGACTTATATAAATTAACTAATCAAATTCTTCAATTTTGTACTATCTAAAAAAATTTTAACCAATCTAAGAAAATTTTATTATATATACAAATATATTTTTTTAAAATAATACAATAATTCAAAATTTTACTATAATAGATAAATAATTTTATTTATAATATTAAAAATTTTTTTCTTAATTAATTAAAAAATAAAAAAGTTTTATTAGTAATATATATTAATTTTAGATGAAAATTTTAAAAAGATATACAAAAAACTATATAAAATTGATTTACATATATTCTATTTTTAAACATTAGAATATAAAATTATATAATACTTTTAGAGTCAAGCTCTGAGGTTACAAATCACAAGATTGCTGATTTAAATCCTAATGATAGCAATTGTAAAGATGCATTACTAAAGTAAAGAACTGCAACACTACAGCACTAAGGATCTAGAATATTATTGGATGGACTTATTTATAAAAAAGACAAACAACCTGTAATTGAAAAGCCATCTAGTAACAAACATGAGTTAGAGCCTAATTTGAAATAACTAGAGTCATAAAACATAATATAAGACAAAAGTTTAACAATGAGAAATACTATATGAACTCATAGCAACAGCTGATTCTAAATAGAGTTTGGCTAAGCTCTCCAATTCTGACAGAGATTGATACAGCAGATTATTCTTAGAAAATTTAAAAGTATAAACTGAGAAAGGTTAAGATCTAGTAACCAAGAAGATTAAGAACATTAGTTCAAGATATAAGATATAAGAATAATTTCAGCAAGATTATCAAAGAAGAAAAAAAATTATATAATAAAATTAACTTATAGATTTATATAAATTAATCAATCAAATTTATTAATTTTATACTATTTAAGAAAATTTTAACTAATCTAAAAAAACTTTAATATATATACAAATATATTTTTTTAAAATAATACAATAGTGCAAATTTTTACTATAATAAATAAATAATTTTATTTATAATATTATAAAATTTTTTTCTTGATTAATTAAAAAATAAAAAATTTTTATTAGTAATATATATCAATTTTAGATAAAAATTTTAAAAAAATATACAAAATTATATAAAAATGATCTATATATACTCTACTCTAATTTAGAAGTTAGCTATATAATGTATTTTTCAGTTTGTCATTGCTAATAATTTACAAAAATTTATAAAAATCTACAAAACTATTTTAGATATTTTTAGTTTTATATAAAAAAAATAAAACTACTAAAAATATCTAGTTTTAAATTTTTAGTATTAAAAGAAAAGTTAAGAAAAATTACAAATCTGTAATCTAAAAGATAAAGATAATGTTAAATGCAATTATAAATTAAACAGTATTTATATAGTTACTAAAAAAGTAATTATAACTGATTTGAACAAGAACTTAGATTAATTAACAAAAATTTTTTTTTAAACTTTGATAACATTGCCAATTAGTTTATTAGATTTTAAATTTAATATAATACTAGTATTATATTAGTTATTTTAACTTTACTAATTTTACCTAGTTATCGTTCAAATATACAACTCTTCCTTATAGATCCTTTGACCAAAATTTTCAGGAAACAAAATGTAGGAAAACTTAACAACTAAACTAGAAAACAAGACTCAAGATACTAACAAAAAAGACAGAATAGCAAAAGTTGCATATAGTTAAATAGGAGAATATAGAAGAGAAACTAGAACAACAGCAGAGAACAGTACATAAAGAAATTTGACAAAAAATAAAAAATTTTTCTTGAAAAATTGGGAAACTGCCATAATCCTGTATTGTAGATTCTTCAAGTTATACAAAAAGTTACAATAGGACTGACAAAGTAAACAAACAAACATGTACATCAAACAAATTTAGTTTAGATAAAACATGTAATATAGAAGCATATAAAAAACAATTGTGCAATATGAACAAAAGTCTGCCAAAAAAATATAGAGAAAGCCTTAATGCAATCTTTACAAAAAGGGCATATAAGGCTATAAACAGTGTGCATAATAAAATCTTCTTCAATAAAGCAAGCAAAGCATATGCAATGCCAAGTAGAGAAGATAATATCATTGCAGCACTCACAAAGCAAGACCCAAATGAAGTAGTACTTTTGCGAATAACAAGAGAAATATTAAAAAAAGCAGAAAGAGAACAACCTAAAAAGAAGCTTGATTTTGTAAAATAATATATCAAGATAAAATAAGTATAGGAAAAAAAGAAGATCAACAGCAGACAAACAAGAGAAAGAAGAGACAAGAAGAGCCAAAAGAAGAAACAAGAAAAAGAAAAAAGATGATGAAGAGATCAACAAAAGTTTACAAACAAGTATCAAGATTGCAAGAAAACAAATAAGTATAAAGGTAGGGCAAACAAGTAATAGCTAAGTAGAAGCTGAATCATCTGCTTATAAAGAAAAAGAAAAAAAACAAAAAAGAGAACAAGAACAAGAAGACATAGAAATGAATAGGAAAAAATCAAGACAGGGATTAACAACAGAAGAAAAAGAAAGAAAAAAAAGAAGGAAACAAGAAATTAAAAAAGAAATCAATATATTTGGAGTACTACTTGAAGAAAGCATGTGGGCACTGAACAAAAGAGGCTGCAATCAAAACAACAGTCTGCTTGCAAACATATGCATATATAATATATCTGAGAAGACCAAAGGAAAACACACAAACTTTATTAGATAGTCATTAAAAATAATAAGTATATCAAAAACATTGAAGAAGTTTTTAAAAGAAGAAACTTATGAATAGAGATAAACTTTGACTATGAGTATAGCAGAAGTGAGGCAATACAAAGAATTAGCAAAAAAGAAAATAATTGGTACAGAATGATCACAAAAAAAGAAAAAATAAACAAGAAGAGAAAAAAGAAAACATATAATAAAAAATATCAAAAGAAAAGAAGCAATATATTAAAATTGAAGAAGAAGAAATATGAATGACAAGAAAACAAAAATAAGTCAACAAAAGATCAAATAGATACTGAAAAGAAGAAACACAAAAACATAAATATATAACAATTTGGAATCTATTGGTAGATATAAATAGAAAAAAGATTGAGTATATGTGCAGAAGATTTAAAACAGCACATATAGTAAGAATCAAAAGATCCAAATGCAAGTCTTTCACAATAATCCAAGTAGAAGAATAAGAAAAAAAAGACATATCATGGTTTATATCAGTTAATAGTAACAAACTGGTAAGAGTAACAGAAGGTGAAGAAAATTATAAAGCAAGACAAAAGCAAAGTCAGTACATAGCAAAAATAATAAAGCTGCCAAGCAATGTTTCAGAACTTTTGCTACTATGCTGTCTAAAAAGCAAAAGTGTGAAATCAGTGTATATTCTACCAAACAGAAACAGAAATTAAAAAAGAACAGCAATAATTATATTTGCAACAGAAAAGAAAATAAAGGCAGTTCAATCAAAACCAATTAGAAATAATAATTTTTAAGTATCCTGACTAAACAAAAAGAAGAAATAAATAAAAAAAAAAGAAAGTGTTAATAGAAGAAGAAAAAGAAGCTAGAAAAGATTGAACCAAAGTTTAAATAAAAGACACACAAAAAGAAGAAGTGACTCTCAAATACAAGATGCAGAAGAGTGGTTAGAAGATAGAAATACTACAGATGAAAAAAGCTGAGACATAAATAGACAGGTTTTAAATAGAGAACACATTAAAATAAAAAGTGATCACCAGTTATAGAACATAGAAGAATGGTTAGAAGTTAAAAACATGAATGCAAAAAGAAATGATAGAAACATAATCAAAAAGAAGACAAAACTAAATACACAAGTACATGCAGAAACAAGGCAGATAGAAGAAGTCTTAAGCCAAATCTTGGACAGACTAAATTAGCTAAAAAATACTCAGCTAGATATAAAAGAAGGCCTGGCCAATCACTTCTGAGAGCATCCAAGTTAAGCTTATAAATATGAATGAGAAGATCAGAAATTTTCTGCATAGTGAGAAAAGGACTTTTGAGAAAAGAAATAAAGAAAAATCTCTTAATCCAAATAAAAGAAAGAGAAGAAAAGAAAAAGAAAAAGTAGAAAATGCAGAAACAAGATACAAGCAGTTAAAAGAGAAATAAAAAAAAAAATAAAAAAAATAAAAATTGCATGTCACAACATCAATGGACTCAAGATCAGAAATTGAAAATTAGAAAACCTGCTGGGCTGGGCAGAAGAAAAAAAGATAGCATTTTTAAGAATAACAGAAATAAATATTATAGAAAAAGAAGAGAAAATTTTGTTGCATAATCTTAATACAAGATTTAAAAGTTACTGGACAAGTGCAATATTGAACAAGAAAAAAAGATTAGATATTGGGATCCTAATAGATGAAACCTTGTTAGAGCAGTCAAAAAATATAGTAAATATATAATAGAAATAAAGCTATATTTTAAACAATTAGTACTAATAGTAATAGAAGTGTATATTTCACCAAATGACAAAGCTATCAGCAAGAAAGTATAGCAAAAAATTGTATAAATAGTGACAAACAAAGAACA